AAGGAATGGCTACAATGTTATCATACTGTTGACCCCAAATGTACTTCGCATGAATACTGATAATCGCCAGAAATGTCAGTAATGGAACCTTGTTGAAGTCAATGGCGCATCCTGAAAAAAAAAAAAAAGAGGGAAAGGGGGGGGGGGGTGTTGATCTACCGCTCCCTAACAAGCTTGTTAAAATTGACTAATTATGGGTTTTTCTTCGAAAGTAGGAGTCTTCATCTGCCTCAGAGGTCAAGAACCGACATATAAGACAGATTGGTGAAAAAGTATGTGCACGCAAAACGCAAGTTTAGGAACAAAACTAACGCCCAGAAGTGGTCGGACAACCAGAACTCAAAGAAGACTGTCAATTTATCCAGAAATAATTTTTCTTTTTTTAAATCTCGCCTCGCACGTTGTGTTAGCACAGTCAGCAAGCAGCACTGGTCACCGCTGCCTTCATTTTTCGTAGCCTGGTCACAGCTTTATTTGGGGGCAAACACCGAAACTTGGTTGCTTAGTTTCCTTGAGAATTAAAAGTGGCCGCTTAGCCCACTTACACAATTACTGGAAAAGGGGGGGGGGGGGTGTGCTGACTAAAATTTAAGGCGGGGGTGAACTCCCTCTCTCTGTTTTCGTTGTGTCGACGCGCTGCTGTGAGAAACTGCTTCCTGTCCCAGCTCCAGGTGAAGCCAGGCACTGGTGTTTACTAAACAATTGTTGGGTGAGACAGTCATGATCTTGCCTACATCTCGGTTTATAGAATAAAACAAAACCATCGTTCATGTCTGTTACATGCGTAGCAAATTTAGGATAAGGCCAAGAACTTTGCCTCGCCAGTGACTCTCCGGACATATGCTGCTAACACTCGTGTTTATCTTAGACCAATCAGCTTGGTGAATAGGGCATATGCTGCTGTGCACAGAGCATATGCTGCAGGTCTCATGTTTTTTTCATAGACCAATCAGTTTGGTCCACCGGGCATATGCTGCCAGTCCACCGGGCATATGCTGCCAGTCCACCGACCATATGCTGCCAGTCCACCGACCATATGCTGCCAGTCCACTGGACATATGCTGCTAGACTCGGGGTTTTTAAAGGCCAATCAGCTTGGTGCTACGGGCATATGAGGCTAGACTGATATTTGTATAAACAATGATCTTGGCGCCTCGGGCATCAACTAGCCAAGGACCAGTCAGCCTGACTGACGTTCTACCCCACCAGGACATCACATCCAGCGATAAACACTCGGTGACACAAAGTGCCACTATTCGGATGAGAAACCCCGGGGTAGGTCCCAGAAACCCCGTTCAGCTCAGCAACAGGAGTGGAGCTTCGAAATAACGAAAAATTGCGTCCCATATGCTGACGGACTTTGCACTCATGTAACCAGTCCGCCTAGTACCGCTTTGAAACATAGTAAAAATAAAACCGCATACATTTCGGTTGCAACAGTTTTATTTATCAAAACATTGGAGTTGAGTCCGCAGCAATTCAACTGAGGAAGCACACAAACGGACACTATCCGGCGATTGAAACTTTACATCGACAATACACGTGACAAGAGGGTCAAGCTGAAACAAGACAGGGCTTGAGTTGAGACTCGGAATGGCAGTCTTGTAAGGAAACGAAGATGGCAGTCATGTCCTCAACACCCTCACAACATCCACGCCAAAAATATTTTCCTCAGGCGTCTCTTCATCCTTAAAGCCGACCCTGCCACCAGCACAATTTTCTGTGAACCTCCTCTAGTGGCCTACAAGCATGACCGTAACCTCAAGGACATTCTAATCAAGAGTCGGTTACATCCCGCGTCTGAGTCCCACTTTGGCACGGTCTCTTGCCACAGACCTGTATGCAGGACCTGTCCATATGTGGTCCAGGGGATTAGTCGAGAATTCCCGAACGCCACATTCCACATACGTGAAGCATTCTATTGTAACAGCCGCAATGTCATGTATGCCATCAACTGCAAGAGATGTGGCAAGACATTGATGAAACGGGTCTATGGCTGACTGACAGGTTCAGACAACATCTTTTGGATGTGCAAAATGGTGCCCTGAAACCAGTACTGTTGCACTTTAATTCCCAGGATCACCAAAATGTCCTTGACATGGAGGTGACAGCTATTAAATCTAGCCACTCCAGCGACAGAGTCCACAAGTCTCTTGATAATCGCTTTATTTACAATTTGGGTACTTAAAACACCCTCCGAACTGAATTGCCAACAATTTCATTTAAACTCCTGGGGGATTGAACTGCCCTCACAGTTTTATCTCAAACACCCTTGCTATGCCCCTGGTACTCCACAGGGGGTATTTATTCCCCTAGCCCACGCGTGTCGGCAGCCTGTTGAGGAATCATCGACCCGGCTGCTTCGAGATACCCCAGCTAAGTGATTTTGTGTATTTGTGTGATATTGTTTGATTTGTATGTGCTGATGAAGGCTCCATAGCCGCAACGTTCACGTTTTGTTTGTATTTGTTATATTGTGAAGCTTGCTAATATACTTTTCGTTCAGTTTTATATCTTTTTTTTCAAATAAAATACAGATGCCTACCGCTGTCCGCAAGGGACGCACCAATACGAGGGTGTTTGTATGAGTGTATGGTTGTATTGTGTATGTGAGTGTGCTTGTCGTCTGTTTTATTCTAACGTCGTTCCTCTGAATCTTGCTCTTCATTCTGCCCTGAAACTGTACTTTCTACTACAGATATAAAATGTCAGCCGCAAGCTCTTTTTGTCTCTATCGTTTTCTGAAAGTTTGTGGCACTAACGTTACTTTGTTAAAACTGAGAAAGATTGGCGGAAAGTTTGTCAGTTTGTCTTTCCGTGCGCCGAGCTTTCCAGTTACTGTACTTATTTGTGTTCCTTCGATATTCTTTTCTTCCTGTATCAGATAACGTTTATTAGTCAGTCTGGAGAAACTAATTTCTATCAACAGATACCTTATACCTATAATTAATAATAAGATCTGTGAAGGGATACTAGGCGACCTACTCCTCATACGAGCGGCGTCTACAGGTAGTAGAGTGAGTCGAGGAACCCGCTCCAGATGCTGTGTGTCCGTTGTGATTTAATCCAGGATACCTCTGTGAGTAACCAGTTAGCAGATCAACTGGCGATGCTTGTCTGGCAGGAAACGAAGGGAATAACAGGTGCTACTGCTCCTCCTACTGAAATAGCCCACATGCCCAACCACGGGGTCATCCTGCCAAGATGTGTTACACTAAACCTCGTAAAACAAATAAAGAAGCCGACTTAGGCTATTAGCTCGTCAAACATCAAAACGTTCGCCTTTATCTTTTAGGACATTTCCTTTGCAAATTTTAGGGTGGGTCGGGCTGGAAGACCACATCCATTAAAAAAAAATAGATTTGACCCTGAGATCTCAGGCCAGCCTTTAACCACAGCGACTGCTTACCTGAATGTATTTTAAATGAGCCATCATTAGATGTCACAAAAGATAGTCTGGACGTTAAAAAAAAAAAAAAAAACAGATACTCGCAGAAAAAGAATGAATTTAAATAAACAATTTAATTAAAAAGCTTGTATTGGAAATACGGGAAACTAAATTAATTATTTAACAAATCAAATTTGTTTTTCTACAAATAAATTGCCTTCGAGCTAATAAAAGCTTTCATAGACACCCGAATTTCATATTCCTGAAGTCTTATTGAAAGGTGAATCTCCTTCCTAACAATAATATCTCATCATCCTCCCTTGTCAACAGCATTAAAGTACACTCGATTCTCCCTAGCACGCTAAAGTAAGGTTACATTTTTATTTATATCATCTAACTGCTTTTGTGTTATGAATTTTATGTTTTAAGCAGCGTTTCAATTATTTTATACAATCCCATCAATATTTTATATGCTAGTTAAAATATACTCGGTGGCTAAATCGATGCGAACGAATCGTAATGCCGGGATGCCGGGTTCGATTCCAGCTGCGGGTTATGCGCCTTGCGTTGGTTTCGACAGTGGTATCAAGAAAGCCGACCGCCCAGTAAGCAATGACAACTTACTGGACGTAAATTTGCCTAGAAAAACCCCACAACAGCCAGTGGCTGTTGGGGTTGGTTCTGCAACATCCTGTAAAGGATACGCAGCTAACCTAGTTAAAATATGATTTTTTTTTTCTTCATGGGAAAGGATTAATCATTCTCCCTTAATTTCTTTTAGGAAAATTTAATTTATTTTCCTATAAGGTACCACGGTACACTTAATGTATTTTACAGCTTCCTCGTCATATTGGATTGTTGGTTTCTTTTCATTAGAGTTCACTGGCTGTCAATGCCGGTGGAACCTTCCTGCAGTACCCCCACTCTTGGACTTTGGTCTTGATCCATAACTTGCGTTTTGCATACGCATCCGTTTTACAAATCTAACTTCTTTGTAACAGACTGTTGGTTCCTTGCCTCTCATGCAGATGCATGTCGACTTTGAAGAAAACAGTCGCCTCCTACAAAATGCTTGTTGGAAAAAAAGGGGAGGGAGGCACATTGGGTCTATTCTTTGTTCTTCAGCGGGAGATTCGCCATTCAAATGGATATTGGGTAGTCCTCTGCGGGTAAGGACTTTTGTGTAAGCACTAGGAATACAGAAACACATTATGACGGGTTGGAAAAATGGCTGTCACTGGGAGTAAACAGGGGGATCGGCACTACGTGAAAACTGATGAAACTGCTACTGGTGCACTATCATCAGAACTGAAACTCTTCGCTGGTTACGACAGAGTTGCAGTACTAGCACTAATAAATTCTGTTGGAACTCACAAGATATAAAGAAGCAAGATCATCAACGACAGTCGGAAGGGCACTTGATAATGACAGAGATCACTGGAATGTCCGAACTACGCTACCCGGAGATGTGGATGACGTTGACCACAATAACGTCAGGTGATTTGCATACTGGCAGACACAACATGGAGACTCCTGCAGAGGTTCCAGTGTTCCTGGGCTGTTAGTCTGCCACTGGTCTCTGACTTCACAGTTGTTTGTGCTCATCAGCAACATGGTGTTCGAGTCGATTGTAGTCGAACTGATCAACAAGTATCTGGGAGAATTTGTGGAAGATCTAGACAAATCACAGCTGAGTATCGGAATCTGGTCTGGTGAGTTTTTTTCATTGGTAAAAAACATTCGGCTCTCCTTTCAATACCGGACGAGGGCTGGACGCGGGCTGTTAGGGGGCTGTGTGGTCTCGAGGCTTGGTGTCCGCCTCGAGTGCTAAAAGTTCCGGGTTCAATATCCTTTGTGTGGCGCTGGGGGGCTGCGTGGTCTCGAGGCATGGTGTCCGTCTAGAGTGCTAGAGGTTCCGGGTTCAATATCCTTTGTGTGCCGTTAGGGGGCTACGTGGTCTCGAGGCATGGTGTCCACCTCGAGTGCTAGAGGTTCAGGGTTGCAATCCCCGGTAAGGGCTGGGATTTGTTCACATGGACTTGGACTTTTAGTAATTCCCCCTGGTCTCTTTGTAGTAAGATCGGACGCCCGTGTGCATTGTTGCAGACGTAAAAAATGTCCAGGATCCTCACCGGTGCTACAGAGCCTTTGCACTGTGCCGAGCTACTTCGGACTCAGACTTGATTTAGAAGAAAAACGGAGCATTTATGGGTTACTACCCATATGCCATGATGTTGATCCGTTGTTCAAACCTCGAACCTGTGTGCTGTTAGAGCGTAGTGATTCCTCCACTCCACTCTACTGACATGGAATTCAGCCCAGATTTTTTGGCCTCTCATAATTATGTTCTTACTGTTCTCCTTGGACGCCCCCCCCCCTTTTCTCTCTCTCTTTCTCTACATGTTTGTGCCTGTGTATCTGTGTGTATAGTGTGTCTGTATGTGTGATTTGATAATGTCCGTGTCTGTGTTTGTCTGTGTGTGTCTGGTGTTTGTATCTATGTGTTTGCCTGTGGCTGAGTGTGTGTCTGTGGCTGAGTGTGTGTCTGTATGTGTTTGCCATATCCCCAGGTTGAAAACGACTGGGTTAAAAAAAAATACAACACTAGGATAGGAGAAGGGAAAGTTACTAGGATATAATTCATGGATGTAACCAAAGCATGTGACTGAAAGCAAAGTGTATAGTAGGTATCTAAGCATCAGTACATGCATAGTGAATTGAATGGTACTGCAAAAGTTAATGTGCCTGAAAAAAAACAATTCCTTGTCTCTCTTACTTAAAAATAAAATCTTTTAGTAGCATCTTTTCTCTCCAAAACCACTAATTGATTTAAAAAAAAAAAAACCAACTTTTTAATGTTGAAATTAAATTTGTTTAAGAATTTATTAACAATGGAAATTATGTACTGTCATCAGGTCTTATCTCCCTTGTTACCATTTGGTTGTGTTACTGTTCCCTTGTCAGTGTTGCTGATGCTTTGCATCCAGGCATCCTAAGTCAGCCTAGTGAACAGTACCGAAAGTTGAGAAGGCTGTACCAGTTATTTATTGAGTATGGGATGTCACTTAATGCAACAAAGCCTTGCATATAAGATAACAATGAGTAGTTTGAGAATAGAGGTGGAGGCAATCACTGCTGTCTTCCTCTAGCTTGAGAATCAGTTGTATGCATATATCGTGATTGTAACTGACACACGGAGCATGTTGAGAAAGGTGGGCACAGGCATGCTCCGTGCAGAGTGGCAAACATTGCTTCAGAGGTCCCAGCTAGTTAGGATCTTTTGGATATTTTCTCCTGGTTATGCCAGTGTGTTGGGAATTGGGCGGGCCGATTGACTTGTTTGCTCTGCACCACTAGGTGGTGAATTGACAAGCTAGATATTGTCAGGGCCCTTTGGGAGCAACTGAACAGTGCGGAGGCACAGGTAGATTATTACAGTCTGAGGAGAATGGCGCACAAGGAGTTACCAGTGGATCTGATAGACGCTGCACACTCAGAGAAAGGGCAAGATGGATATACAATCAGACAGTTACTGGTGCTATCAGAATTGGAAATCTTTGTTTATTGCTGATGATGAGGATGGAGCCTTTATTGGAGTTTCCCGATTGCTTTGATGTGGATTCTTATTTCAACCTTTAACATTTTTGAGTATAGGAAAATATTCCAACATGTTCTGTTTATAGGAAAGATCTGGAGGGTGTAATGTTTAGAGGCTAGCCCTAATATCTGCTTGTAATATGTTGGAACCCTCATAAACATGTAAATTTATTTTAACCCGACAGGGTGGACTAAACCTTATATGTGTATCAGGAAATGCAGGGGGAAGTGAAGGTTGCTGTGATGATAATTACTGGCTTTATTTTATGACTGATATCTCATGAGAAATCTTTCTAATAAAACCATGGATCTAGCAACATGTTCTTGAAGTACCAGTGATGTCACATAGGTCTTTTATTTGTACTTTTACTTGTACTTGTTTTACTTATGAGTGAGAATTTCTATAGTATACTAATTCACTTGTAACTTTTTTTTCCTAGCTCAGCAAGGTAAGACAAATTTACATATATTTAATGAAACATTTACATGAATTTCTTTTCATATTAATTTATGTGTGTTGTTTTTGCATTTGCTGATGCATAAGACGAAATTCAGGCACCAGATTGCCATAAAATATCATAGCAGTAATGTGTTTGATATTTTTAAATATTAATTGATAAAAGCTTTTTTAATTCTCTACCAACTTTATGCTAGAGATACTTAATTTGCTCTAAATATATAATACACATACCTTTCAGATGTTTACCTCTACCAGGAAGGTAACGCGGGCAACAGATGACTGCAGAAGTAGTTACAAATATCATAACCCTGTTGCAAACGGGCACAACACGTTTACATCTGTGGATAAAAGCAGAATAAGAAGGAGATGCCTATCTGCTAGTTGAATTGTGACTTTTAATTATAGTGATAGATTTATTATTGTGTTTGTTTTCTTATTGTATTAGAACCCACAAAGACAGTGTCTGTGGTATCTAGAAGGTACCCAAAGAATGACCAAGTTTTCACACTAAGGCTTCTGATATCAGCTTGCATTGTTCACAGCTGTACTGACATCGATGGGTTAGTTAATTAAAAAATAAATTGGAACACTTTCTATTAGCCTTCCTTCGTGTGGCTACAGGAAAGGGATGCTAATTCTTATGATTTTTTATAGGTAAAGGTAAGGTCGGGAGATGTGAACCAGCATCATTGCACACGGTTATAAACCATAAGTGCTCTGCCACCAGTACGGACAGCTGAAAAGAAACTCTCCACCTGTGTTTTCTCCGCATGTAACTCCGTAGCTACAGCGATATTCCTCCATTCACCCCAGAGTGTCAACTCTGGTACCCATTTCCTAGAGGCTGGGTGAACCCCGGGAACTGCCCATGGCTGCAGCAAGTCTCAGCTAGATTTGAAAGCGAGCCTCCTATTGACTGCACTAACGCGGACTCCCTTTTTATACAGGATAATAAACAGCAATTCACTACTTGATTAGAGGGCTCAAGTAAACATGTTCAGTAAAAATGTGGCCAAGAGAAATCATACCTAAAGCCCACCAACAATATAATACTGTTTTGTGTTTGTTTCTAGGATGAGGCCTACAAATGTTTTTTTAGTAAAAGCAGTATCACATGATGATTCTAGATTCTTAGCCATGCTATCTGTTGTTGATGTCAGACAGCATCTATTATGATATACCTCCAGTACACTAGTGATGAAGTGATTGAAGCAGTGAGCTCTGAGCTGAACCTATAGTTTCCTTATTTCCTTAGTGACCTAGAAGATCCATGATGTATTAGTCTTGCTGAGGTTCTGTTTTGTCATAGGTAATTATAAAAAAACCAAAACAGAGCCAGGTCTTATCCAGCTCTCTGCAGACTTCTGAATTACCACAGATTTGTTCAGTTTTAAACACTTTACCAGGGCTGCACCCATCGTAACCTACTCATTGTCATTTACAGTCACTGAGATATTTCTGACATGTGTTCAGACTGCTAATGGAAACTCATCTTAACCGTGATATGAGAGAACTAGGCACCCAACTGAATTTTATAAAATGAAGAACATCTTATGCAATATATCTTTGTCATTGAGGGTTAGAAAAAACATTCCTGCTTGCTACATACATCCAGTTGTAACATATGGCTGTGAGTCTTGGACAATCGGTAGGCAGGCCAAACAATTTCTTGAGGCCTCAGAGATGTGGTTTTACAGAAGAATGCTTAGAAAACCTTGGACAGCCAAAAAGAGCAACCAAGAGGTTTTGAAAGAGGGGGGAGCCCGAAGACAACTAATCACAGACATATGAAGGAGACAGTCATCATTTTTCGGCCATGTTATGAGAAGAGAGAAAATATAACATGTTGTGGCCACTGGAAAGATCTGCAGAAGGAGGGATAGAGGAACACAGTGAGAGAAGATTCTTGACAGTCTTATTGCATGTCATGGCGGTGTGTCAACACACGAACTGATACATGCTGCAGGAGATAGCGGATTGTGGAGAGGCATGATCGCCCACGCCAGTTGGCAAGGCACCTGATGATGATGAGGCACCCATTACTTTTCTGAAATTGTTGGGGTGTGTAACATGATTTTCACTTCACACTGTTAGAGTCAAAGATATGTCATAATTCTTAGCTTTCCCAACATCCTAAGAACTAGACATTGTGAATTCCAGTACAGATTAGAGGTATAGAAACTGGGTTACATTGACCAAGACAGTTTGTAGCATCCTATTCAGAGAATATTTGGCCCCCGAGGAAATGTATGATTTGTCTGGCATTGTTAATGTGCAAGATCAGTGTTCTGAAGACAACAAAAACATGTCTTCACTACAACTCTCAACCCTATATACTTGTCTGGCATTGTTAATGTGCAAGATCAGTGTTCTGAAGACAACAAAAACATGTCTTCACTACAGCTCTCAACCCTGTATACTTGTCTGGCATTGTTAATGTGCAAGATCAGTGTTCTGAAGACAACAAAAACATGTCTTCACTACAACTCTCAACCCTATATACTTGTCTGGCATTGTTAATGTGCAAGATCAGTGTTCTGAAGACAACAAAACATGTCTTCACTACAACTCTCAACCCTGTATACTTGTCTGGCATTGTTAATGTGCAAGATCAGTGTTCTGAAGACAACAGAAACATGTCTTCACTACAACTCTCAACCCTATATACTTGTCTGACAGTGTTGATGTGCAAGATCAGTGTTCTGAAGACAACAGAAACATGTCTTCACTACAACTCTCAACCCTGTATACTTGTCTGACAGTGTTGATGTGCAAGATCAGTGTTCTGAAGACAACAAAAACATGTCTTCACTACAACTCTCAACCCTATATACTTGTCTGGCATTGTTAATGTGCAAGATCAGTGTTCTGAAGACAACAAAACATGTCTTCACTACAACTCTCAACCCTGTATACTTGTCTGACAGTGTTGATGTGCAAGATCAGTGTTCTGAAGACAACAAAAACATGTCTTCACTACAACTCTCTACCCTGTATACTTGTCTGACAGTGTTGATGTGCAAGATCAGTGTTCTGAAGACAACAAAAACATGTCTTCACTACAACTTTCAACCCTATATACTTGTCTGGCAGTGTTGATGTGCAAGATCAGTGTTCTGAAGACAACAAAAACATGTCTTCACTTCAACTCTCAACCCTATATACTTGTCTGGCATTGTTAATGTGCAAGATCAGTGTTCTGAAGACAACAAAAACATGTCTTCACTACAACTCTCAACCCTATATACTTGTCTGGCATTGTTAATGTGCAAGATCAGTGTTGTGAAGACAACAAAAACATGTCTTCACTACAACTCTCAACCCTGTATACTTGTCTGGCATTGTTAATGTGCAAGATCAGTGTTCTGAAGACAACAGAAACATGTCTTCACTACAACTCTCAACCCTATATACTTGTCTGGCAGTGTTGATGTGCAAGATCAGTGTTCTGAAGACAACAGAAACATGTCTTCACTACAACTCTCAACCCTATATACTTGTCTGGCATTGTTGATGTGCAAGATCAGTGTTCTGAAGACAACAGAAACATGTCTTCACTACAACTCTCAACCCTGTATACTTGTCTGACAGTGTTGATGTGCAAGATCAGTGTTCTGAAGACAACAGAAACATGTCTTCACTACAACTCTCAACCATATATACTTGTCTGGCATTGTTGATGTGCAAGATCAGTGTTCTGAAGACAACAGAAACATGTCTTCACTACAACTCTCAACCCTGTACAGGTTCCTGGGCCCCATTTTGATTGGAAATAAAATCAACCCTCTGCTCCCTAGCAGGCTTGTCAAATACAATATCATTAGGAGTTGGCTGCAATTTAATGTGTTAAGCTGAAAGGTACAGATGTCACAGCCTAGCTGTGAATTGCTACAAATTGTGCTCACCATCCCATTAAGGACATATGCAGAAGAACTGTCTTTAGAGTTTCAGATCACTAAGGGAAACAACAGCTATTAAATAAAAGCACAGTTAAGAATAGCTTGCATAAAAGACGTACATATTTATTGTTCTTTTAGGCGATGTTGTCCTCAAAAAACTGAATTTGAAAGAAAGTGCCCTGGTAACATGTTCTTGACATTATATTTCTTTGGTTACCAGGCTTGTTTGTGTGGCATGTTTGTTGCACACTATAATGTTCTGAGTGATGTTTCACTTAACAGTATTGATTTATACTCACACTTTAAACATGTTATGGTTGACCTGTTGTCATCCTGTTTTAATTTAAAACAAATTATATTTGATCAGTTTCGTAAAAAATTATTTTCTTTTTTAACCTGTGCTTTTTTCTAGTAAAAAATGGTATCAATGCTTGCCTCAAAGTGGGTAGAAAAAGGTGCTGTTACTCACCACAAAGTGTGTTTTGCAGAAACACTGAAAAAATTTGATGCTGAAAAGAAAGAAAAAAAACTGTGTACCATTGCGTACCACAAGAATAAAAGTACTGATTGTTACCATAATTCTCAGATGTTAATGTGTCATGTTTTCATTCCATCCCAGATTAATAAAGAAATAATAACTCACAATGTTAAGTTAGTTGCATTTCCTTGACAAGATTTTGCAAACCAATACCAGCATTTGTGTGTGGTTCCTCTAGTCTATTTTACATTCAGGAGTTTGCCCTCTGACAACACTTGAAACTGCTGTCAAAATAATGCAAAATGGTCTACTACCAAACCCCCAAGTCTCAGTCACTAGCCCTATATGCCCTATACGCCTGAGGGCGTGGAAAAGGGTCCTTTTACTTTACTTATAGAATTTAAAACATTGCATTTTTTTTCTCTACAGTTTTGCTTTCAGAACTGTTTTTCATTATGCTTTGTTATTACAGCAGAATGTAAAACATTTATTATATGACCCCCCCCCCCCCCCCCCCCCCCCCCCCCCTTTTTCCTCCTTAGGTTATAATCCTAATTGATGTTATAATTTTCAATGTATTGAACTACATAACTTGTAACTGGAAGAAATCAAGACCCAAATCTAGCAGACGAAACAACAGTAAGAGCAAATCATTTCCGACCAATCAAATCGAAGACATGAAAAAGCGCTTAACGAAACATAAGTTCAAGCAAGATGGCGGAAAGGGAGATTTCTTTCAGTTTCATTACAACTTCCCTGAAACTAAATCAGACAGGTAAAAGTCAACAATACGAACAAACTCCTTCTGACTAAACAGGGGGAAGAAACGAACGCACAGTGTAGAATTAACACAACTTCAAGCAAGATGGCGGAAAACTGATTTCTGTCAATTATCCGTAATTTCCAAACTAGTGGAGTTTAGCAATTTGAGAAAATGAAAATGAGTTAAAACGTTTGGGACCTAGAGTTTTTTTAACAAGTGACCTGTTTTATGATGATGTTTTGAGATGTACAAAACAGATATATTTGTCAAAGAGAGATTATTTTCTGTATGGCTACATAACAGAATAACAAACGGCACCATCTGTAATTACACGTACACAAATACAATGCAGAGCAGGCAAACACCACATTATACAGATAATTTGCCATTTGAGAAAAGAAAGAAGAGAAAGAGTTTTGTGTGTGACTATTGTGAAATGTTCCTGTCTGGATGCTCTAGGCTGCACCCCCATCTCCACCAGCCTGGACAAGGATACTGAGTCCTACTTGTTGTCATGCATCTCCACCAGCCTGGACAGGGATACTGTGTCCTACTTTTGTCATGCATCTCCACCAGCCTGGACAAGGATACTGAGTCCTACTTGTTGTCATGCATCTCCACCAGCCTGGACAAGGATACTGAGTCCTACTTGTTGTCATGCATCTCCACCAGCCTGGACAAGGATACTGAGTCCTACTTGTTGTCATGCATCTCGCATGGCATTAATGACATTGCTTCTGTCTAGTGTCGGGCCGGTCATGGTAACCATCTTTTCCACTATATAATCTGCATCCTAACCTATCTTGAACACCTGTTAGGTCCGATACAAAGATAAAGGTTAGGTGAGTTATTCATGGCGCATTTGGCTGCAGGTAAGTGTCCGAGGCTGAAAAGGGGGACATCGTGGATGGCTCAAGCAGAAGATATAATAAGACAAGTATGCATGCTGGAGAACATTGGGCGAGGAGAGGAGTGGGTCAGAGTACCAGCAGGAAAGTCTGACCTGTGTAGGCTTATGTTAACATTGGGCCGGGTGTGCAGAGAGTGGCCAGCGGGTGCTACGGAGGTTAAAGTCCAACAGTTGATTTGCGACAGAACATGCCCAGGTGACCTGATTATCTATACAGATGGTTCAGTGTTCAGAGGAAAGAGAAGTGCCTGGGGGTTTTGTAGCGAAAGCCAGTGGAAAATCTTTAGTGCAAGACAGCCTAGCATATGACACCACAACATCCAGCATGAGATTGGAGGTGGGGGCTAGAGAAAAAAGATGCATACACATGTCCTAATTGTAACAGACTCTGAAGGCATGCTGAGAAAGATGAAGACAGTGATGCTTTGAGCAGTGGCAAGCTTCACTGGGAAGGTCATGGGTAGTGAGCATACTTTGAATCTTTTCTCCAGGCCATGCTGGCAAAGTGGGTAATGTGGATCTGCATCACTGGGTGGTGAATTGATACATGACAAGGCAGATGTGGTCAAGGCCCTTTGAGAACAAGCAACAGAATCAGTAGAGAAACAAGATTATTATGGGCTGGAGAGAATGAGGCACCTGGGTGTAACCAGAGGGTCTGGCTGGCTCAACTAAACTCAGAAAGGCAAGACAAGACATATAACCAGATTGTGACCGGTACCATCACTATTGGAACATTGCACTCACTGCTGAAGGTGAGGACAGAGCACACGTGGGAATGCCCCGAGTGCTGTAATGTCAATTCTTGACTCAACTCAACTCATGAGGCATTTAATGAGATAGTTTGAACAATGGATCAACATTATAGCACAAGAATCTCAGTGCAGTGCATGAGCTCCGTAGCACCATTTAATGAGATAATCCATTCTTGATAAAGCTGGCCTGATTTTCTGGAACAAAGATATTTATGTACAAAATACTAGATGTTTCTATGTAAAATATGATGTTTTGCTTATAAATATTCATTCTGACTTCTGTCCTGCAGTGGGGAATAGACCCTCAACCACAAACACCAGGTCGTTCTGTCCTTTGCTGTTGCATCAGCTCACCCCATGTCCTCCCCGTCTTTTTAACTTCCCTCCCGAGTTCCTTTCTCCATGTGTTTTTTGGGCTTCTTTTTTTCATTCTCTCTCTGGATTCCCTTGCAAAAACATTCTAGTTATTTCTTCTTAGGTTTTCTCAGTGTGTGTCCTATCCAATAACAGCATCTTTTCTTCACCTCTTGGTCTACTGGAATTTGTTTAGTTCTCTCCCAAAGCTCTACATTAGTGATTCTGTCATACAACTTAATTCCCTCTATTCTGCACAGGCACCAGATAATGAATGTTTGTAGTTTATCTGTAATTGTTTTAGTTGTTCTCCATGTTTCTGCTCTCTTGCCATTGGTATTATAATTTTAATATCTCTATCAGTTCTTCTATGTTTGTCTACATTATTGTCGAAATAGGTGTATGACTCCACATCTTGGAGTGGGATACCATTAAGAGAAACCACATTACTATTTGCCTGGTTTATTCTCATTTTGTTATCTTTCTCTGATGGATTTTTAAACCTAGTTGTTGTGATCTCGCATCAAGTATATATTAATGTATCCTGCATCTGGTTCTGTGAGTGGGACAGAAGATAAATATCATCAGTGAAGTCAGGGTCATCATGATATTTTGTAGGGGTTCTATTCCTGGTGTTAGCAGTTACCGTTTTCATTATCCAGTCTATAGCCAGTAAAAATAGGAGAGGTGACAAAATACATTCCTGTTGCACACCTGTTTTTATTTCAGATGTATCAGTTAGCTTTCCCTCATGAAGAACTTGACATTTCATGTCGTTATATATTGCCTTTACTAAGTTAATAATTTTCTGTTGGATCCCATATTACCCCATCAATTTCCAGAGAGATTCCAAATCAGTGCTGTCAAATGATTTTTTTCCTTTTAATAGTCTATAAATCTGATTTAGAGTAGTGAGTTCAGCTGGGTGCTTTGCTATATTATTATACATAATGTGGCTATCTGGTCAATACAGGATCTGTTCGACCGAAAAACCCACTGTTCATCTCTTAGCTTTTTATCCATAGCATCTTTTAATTTTTCCAAAATAATCCTACCAAATATTTTTCCAGGAACTGACAGCAACATAATTCCTGTATGGTTTCACACTCTCCTGTAGATTGCCTTTTTTGAGCAGTTTAACAAGATATCCTTCTATCCAGTCTGCTGGTATTTCTTTGGTCTCACAGACTTTCCTGAATAATCTGAGTAACAATTCCATTGATGTCTCAGTTAGTTTTTGTATTTGTATTTCTCTTTCTGTCAACAGGATCACTTCAATATCCCTGTCAAAATAAAAGCAGGACACTTAGGTAAGCTGTTGTTTGCTTAGTATGGCAATAATGATGGCCTATCTGTTGCTGTTCTGTCATAAGTCACACACAAAAAAGGACAATTTAGATGTAATTTTTTTCACTAGTTTCAAAGAATCTTTTATATATGATGAAATTTATTGTTTTTTAAATATATTAGTGCAACATTAATTCTAAATATGCATAAATTCAACGATTTTTGTGGTTATCAATTGTATTTATTATTTCAGACTTATAATTCTTTTCTTGTTTATCCCTTTGTCTTTTAAACATCTTATTGCCCGGTTGCTAGAAAGTTAGGAAGAGTTTCATAACTCTGACATTCTGGGTTTTATTTATCTACTGGCGATATGACGTTTGCCTTGATGTTGACAATAATAATATGGATAATTGACTATTTAGATAAAAATGGTAAACTACCGAATGTAAAATTGCCAAGTGGAATCATAAACAGCCAATGAATGCAGGGGTTGGGTTGTGATGTACTGTAAATTATTTATTTCTAACTCTCATAATTCTTGGCGATATGATGTTTGCCTTGATGTTGACATTAATTATATGGATAATTGACTATTTAGATAAAAATGGTAAACTACCGAATGTAAAATTGCCAAGTGGAATCATAAACAGCCAATGAATGCAGGGGTTGGGTTGTGATGTACTGTAAATTATTTATTTCTAACTCTCATAATTCTTGGCTTATGCCATAGACCATCTTGTTGTCTACTCTTTGTTTTCTCATATACTGCCGGTCATTCTGGTACAGATGTTCATCCATGTCATCATCCTAATGTAATTTCTTCTTTTTATGTATCCCCATCTCTTCTCCCATTATCTTTCCTGTTGCTCTAGTTTCTACTTTTTTTACACTGTCTACTTTTGCATTAAGGTCCCTTTATCATTTAGCAGGTCCTTCGCTCTCATCACAGCCACCCTGAAAAAACAACTCAGTCTCTCGCCAGCTCTCCCACCTTGTGCACTTTCCTACCCAGGGTGTCTCTTATATCCTATGTCCATCTTTATGTTGGTTGGCCCCTGTCCTTGTTTCTAGACACCATGCTTTATGCTACTGTTCTTTCTGATCTGACTTGGCACTGGATATGACCAAAATATTTCATTTTCTGAGACAACAGGGTGTAGTTGTCTTTCTCATTGTTCAAATCCTTTGTGAGGTCCCATAGTATCATTATAATTTTAAACTTTCAACATTAGTCCAAAGCCATGTCTAACCCATTATTAAATACATCTTTAACAGCAGCAGTGCTGTTTCATAGCCATCATGTAATATAGTGTTTAATATTTGGTCAGAGTAAGAAATCTGGCTGCCACTGCTACTTGTACTGTGCAGTTAGCCTACACTTTGGTGATGTTTAATTGTTCACTTGTCCTCTTGGGAATTTATAAAGTGTTCTGAGGTTTAAAGAGTTACTCTTCAACATGTTACTGTCTTGCAGAAAGTTAACACTGAGCATCTTATAGTACTGCATTGAATCATCTGAAAGCAGGTTATGATAAAACTGTTATAGATTTGCTGAAACTTTAAAGATTAAAATATTTGCTGATAGAATCATAGACCTGAATAGATAGCAATGAAGGACAAAGATTAGAGAAACAGTCATCATCATCAGTTTTTGCACTTCTGTCGTTAAGCAGCATGGAGAGGAACATGTTATGATCTATATCTAGATGGGCAGCAATGGCTGTTGTCATTCAGTGTTGATGTAGTTCTCCTGATGCAGTAGAGATATTAATAATTCAAAAGACAAGAGAAGCTATCGTAACAATAGGAATAAAATATGAGGGGCATAATAAATTATCCCAAATACTAAACTTAATATGTAATTCTAGCATCTTATCAGTGCTCTTACTGATTGGAAACAGAGACTAATAAAGCAATAGCTTCTTTACTACAAACATTCATTTACTTAGTTCTTCAGATACAGAACAGAAAATGGTAGGAAAATCACACTAATGCACAGCTGAGTGTGAGAACTAAACAAATTCAAACAAATTAATGTGTGAGGAAAAGTCACCAGCAGTGGTAAGAACATAGATAATTATAGTAAAACTAGAATGCCATTCTGGAAACCAAGGGGACACAATAATTAGAAGAAGCTTCAACAGCAGATTAATAGAATTATACATAGAAATGTATAATATTGGGAGGGTATGGAGACAGCTGTATAATGGTAAAGAATAGGGTTGGCATGTGTTGGCTGAGAACCTGCGCTCAACTGGGTGATAAAGGGCAGCAGCAGAAGAAGACAGTTTGCTGTTTCCATAATTTTTAGCTGCCCAAATATGAATGTGTAAGATGTGGGTTGTTTTAAACAAGCTGCTCTGAATGTCCACAGGGAAACTAACATTAAAAGTTCCATGGAAGAATCTGTATAGTGAACCTGTTGTTGTCCACATTCAAGATATTTATGCCTTGACAGTTCCAAATACAGGTAAATACTTGTTCTTCAAGTGTTGTTAATTTGTATGATATATTATCCACTTTTAGCTTGACAATGACTTGTTAACATTTGCTGTCAACTCTTTTGGTATCAGACACTTACAGTACATTCATTGATGACCTAGTAAGTGTATGCCCTTCTTAACTGTTTGTTTCCAGTAATTTACAGCACATTAGTGCATGCTGTTTCTTTCATTAATTTGGCAGTCGGAATTGTTTTGTTTTACCTCAGTACAAAAAAAATTGATACTGTAAATTTCCTCTTCTTTGGAATAGCAAGTGTTCAAGTAACAATAAGACTGAAAGGGTTAACACATGAGGGGAGTTTGTTTTAAGTCTTTGTCCAGATGTGTTGATCAAACTGTGGAATGGTGTTTTATGGGGTGAACACTTGATAGAATTGGTGCCCATTTTGGCCATCTTCCATTTCTGTGGACAACACTTTCAGTCACAGGCATGACAATGCTTGGCTAGGCTTTCATGTGTGAGAAAAAGAGACCAACAAACTACTGCATTGTCACTGCACCTGAAGAAATGGTGGCTGTGTAGTTAAAGGAAGACCAGCAATCATGTGTTTTTTTGGGGGGCTAATAAACTAAATATATATTCCTTAAGTGGTTTCAGTGCAGAATAGAAGTAATTATTAGGAATCACTAAGGCAGAACCTTGTCGTTGGTCTAGCCAAAAATTGACATCTGTTTAATTTGTGACATCTCCACAGTAGAGGTTGGCTGCAGTGCATCCTTTGTTGTTTTTGGGAATAATACAGGGTGAGACCCCAATCTTTTCCATAGTGCAACTCTTTTACCACTGTCGGACAGCCCCAAGAACAATCTGTTGTAATGTTTAAATCACTTACACATCCACAAAAGGTGGCCAGTGTTTTTGTTTTTGGTGTTAGCTACAATATAGGGATACGTGTCAGTGGCATCAGTTTGGTGAAGAGATTACAATAACACTTGATCAAAACAGTTTTTTCCTCTAGTAAATGTAAATAATGAGGAGACACACAGTGCACTGCAGTTTATTCCAAGGCATATTTTGCTGTATTTCCTCAGGTGCATTACTACAGGGTTGCATCAACATATCATGAAGCACAAAAACTTAATATTCTCAAATGAACTACACATCACAGGTCTCTCTCAATACATTCTTCTTCTGATAGCTGAAGTTCATGAAAGTCACATAATCTCCCAATAGTCACAATAGTCACGTAACCTACCAGGATAACTTCAAATTTATATTGAAATGCTTCTGCTTACATAAGGTCGATTGCTAAGACTAACTGAAGCTTTAACAATAAAAATAAGCAACCATCCCCTCTGATGTAAACAGAAGGAGTCCATTATAAATTTGAAGTTACTGTGGTAGGTTATGTGACTATTGTGAACTTCCAGCTTTGACACGAACATTGTATCGAGAGAGACCTGTTATGTGTAGTTCATAAGAGTTGATTCAGTTTGTGTGATGCATCTCTGTAGTAACCCATCTGACAGAATACAGCAAAATATGTCTGGCAGTGTACTGTTTTTGCCCTCATTATTTACTTTAACCTGTCATAGCAAGCTCATCATGAGAACACTCAGAACTATTGCCAGAGCTTGTTATATTTTACAAACTTGCAATCCCTTAGCTGCACACAGATAGTTATGGCGAGCCCATCATGAGAACACTCAGAACTATTGCCAGAGCTTGTTATATTTTATAAACATGCAACCCCTCAGCTGCACACAGATAGAAGGAAGCAAAGGGATCTAGACTGTCATGGCTTAGAATATGTGAAGTCTGGCACTTTATATCCCAGCATCTCTCTCATCTGTCTTTATCTTTTAGCTTGGAGCAACTTTTTGGCAGTTTCTAGTTATTTTCATGAGAACTCAAAACTGTGTTCTTCTGTAGCTGTTCAGTATGATGCAGAGCTGGACAGGCAAGCACAGTTTGCTGAAAAGCAGGCAAGACTGGCTCAGATTGAATTTCAGAAGAAATGGGAGGCAGATAAAGGTATGAAATTGAATATATATATATATGTATATATATATATATATATATATATATATATATATATATATATATATATATATATATATATATATATATATATATATATATATATATATGTATATATATTCATTTATTCATTGTCCTGTTGTGCCATGATATGTCATTAGGGCTTAAAGTCTATACCTCCAGACCATTCTATCTTGTGCAATCAATTCAGTGTCATAGGATGGATTCCAGTCCAGCACCATTGGCTTCTCTAATCAGTGTTAAAGGGTCAAGGACCCTTTTTATGCTATTTGCTCATGACCCCAGACCCATATTGTTATAGACCAGTTGGCAGTCAAAGGAGGATGCAGTCAAAATAACTTCAACCACCTTTACTTCTCAGGACTTTACCTGGTACCCATAGAAGGTTGGGTCTGCCTGAGAGCCAAAGCCATTTTTAGACGAAAAAATCTACCATGATGGAGACTTGAAGTCAGAACCTTCAAGACGTCAGGCAAGCATCTAGCCAAGATGCCAAAGCAGATTCCATGACCCGTTAGCTCTGTTAGAAAAGCAATATGTTTAATGACCATAACAATTATAAAGAAATATAATGTGTTTATATTATCATGTTTTTCTTTACTTCTTTTTTTAACAGAAAGAAGTTGTGATGCTGGTTCTTATTTTTATTTTGACTGCATTCCTGATATTGATCTTGTCTTGTCTCTCCCACACACTTCTCATCTCCATGCTTATTAACTCTTTGAGTCCCAAGGAACGCATCACGCGCTCATTTTTTACTACTTGGCGGCCCAAACGCGCATGACGTGTGACGGTTTTTAATTTTTACCACTTATCGGTAATTACACATGGACAGCTCACTTTAAACTTTCTTTCTCGGTTTCTCAAGTTGTGTAGTGTACACACGTGGATTGCATTCGTTGGGTCTGGTGAGTTTTTTTTAACGCTTTAAATCGATATTTGTGTGGTCTACTACGTTTACCAAACCAATTGTCTGACAACAATATGTTCCGATCAGTCATCGTTCTTCACACCCCATCAAACGCGATTTACTGCTTTAAATCATCACTTTGATAAAATAGTAACACTTAAGTAATGTGGAGTGGATAATGATAGTAGCGAACTGACATTTCCCCCAAACCGTTGACGAGATCAAGTTTTTATGAGGATGTGTGCGTAAATTTACCTTCCTTGCGAAGAGGACCAAACTGACTAATTCTGCCTTTGCAATACAAGCAGAAGCCACCTCGTACGCGACACCAGCTAGTCCAAATGTCAAGCGCTTCTAGCTACTACTATCCATATCATCCACAACCATAGATATCTATCTATGACATATTGACATGTTTACAGTGCCTTTACAGTTTTTTTTTCTATGTGAGGAATTCAGATTGTTTTTAGAAAGTCACTGTTTGTCCACTGGAGAATATATTTTGACGTGTTATTGTAGTGTTATTAAAATTAGTATGGAACAAAAACTATTGCACATTTTGCTTTAATAATGGCTGTGCATATTTATAAGTGGTGTACCGTTCATTTGTGATGCATTTTTGGATATACTATACCAAGAATTTTGGGATCAGCTTCTGGGTAAGTGGAAAAAACTTGTTCATAATTTACTCACCTCTCAAACTAAGTAACTGTTTTCTCTACTAAAAACTAACTAACAGTATAATTGTTTGTTGTAGCAGTATGCTAATATTAATCCTTATCCATTTATGTTTAATTTTATGTATGATACGTGCATATTGGACATCAGCTGCAGTTGTGTGGTTTGTTTTAAAGTGCTGCATTTGTTAAAAGTCAAAATCATATTACCCCCCTTGGGCCTCTGGTGCAAAACCTCCTGGGACTCAAAGAGTTAATTATCATATCTTCATTGTTTTGATTCGCCATGTCTGCCACTGGTAGCATAGCATGGGGATGAATATTCTGTCTATAAAATGTGCTGGTCAGAGCTCTTATATTAAAGGAGGGGATCCACCACTTTGCTTGCTGTCTATGTCCTCAGTTATCTTTACCATCCCTGATTCCAGAAACCCTGGTGTAAGATGCCTAGTCTGTTCTGTCTACATATTAAATCTGTAATTTATACTGGTGTTGTTGCAGCAAAACCAAGAGATCCTAAACAAGACAGCTTTGTGGAGAAACTGTCTGTACAGATAATCAAGAACCTGCAGATCAAGGTCTCAGGCCTTCATATCAGGCACGAAGATTCATACAACAACCCCAGGCGTCCAATATCCATAGGCTTTACACTAAAGGAGCTATTGTTTCAGGTTGGTCAGCTCGTCTGAACTCTGGTGTCTGTTCACGGTGTAGCAGAAGGTTTCGCATGAGATACCATAGTGATGATATAATCGTGATGCCAAATCATGAAGCTGTTACTTTTAAAGTGGCAATATACATAGTTGTAGGGACCAATGGGGAAAGACAAATTTATCTAGTTAATTCAGACCAATGGTTTGGCCATGTAACAAGACTGGCAGCAGACAGGGCACTACAGAAAGCAATGTTATACAGATACGGGTGGTAACAGACCCAGAGGTCGACCGCTCAGAATATGGGCCGCAGAAATATCAGAGACACTGATAAGTACTATATATGAAGCAAGCAGAAGGGCCCGTTCTAGAGATCTCTTCCTCCCCTGACGCCGCAAGGCATACCAGGAGTAGAGAAAAGAAGAAGAAGATTCAGACCAAGTAGTAAAAGTAAGAAAGTGCATTATGCTATGGAGGGGAATCAGTGGGTAAATTCATTCACACACCTGGCGTTGCTTGGGACTGAAAGAGTTAATGAATCTCTGAGGTAACTTGCTGCAATATTATGTTATGTTAACTAAATGAATGAAATGATAACGGTGGTGGTTAGTACCCACCAAACTGGCATTATGTCTTACTCAGTATTACAGCTGCTGGATTTATCATGACTACTGCTTGGGGATAACTTGCAGTTCAAATTGATGATGACACTCTGGTGGCTTCCTTATGCATTTAACTCTTTGAGTCCCAGGAGGCTAAGCATCAGGGGCCCAAGGGGTGGTAACTCGATTTTGAAATTTCACAAGTGTAACACATTGAAACATACCTATACTAATTCAGCTGCCACGTAACATACAAATATATTATATCAAAGTGACCAGGGATTGTTGGGGAATAATATTAGAAAACTTACAATAACTAAATTGTGTTAGTGGTTAAATATAAGTAAATAACCAGACAAGATGTTTAAAGCAATTTGTAAAATGAAATAATTGGGGGTGGCTGGGTAGTAACCAGTTAGCCTGTGATGTGTTCCTTGGGGCTCAGAGAGTTAAAGCATGTGCATGTTACTGGTCTTGTGGGACATCCTGTTTCACTTTCTACAGAGACATTAATGAGCATTTTGTTTGGTTTTAACTAGCACATACATCTATATCTTGTGACTTTTATGTTGTCTAGTCTGTCTTTCTGTCTCTATTTTTTCTTGTGCATCTGTAAGTGCCAGTCATTACATTACACTTGTTTAGCATACTGCACAAAGAACATAGTGGCTGCTACATGTCACTTGATTTGATTGAGCTGGCTGATGTAAGAAAAAAAAAAACTGGCTACAGACATTTGTAATCTGCTTGTTGTGTGTACTGTCCATTATTGTAATATGCCCTCTCCTGCTGCAGACAACTGATGCCACTTGGAAGGAGACTGTTATAAAAGAGGCTGTGTCACAGATTTACAAAGTAAGATCATGTTGCCCCTTATGTTTGTTGTCCCTTATTTTTATTGTACACTCAGATAACATGGCAGTATGAATGATTTTAGATAACACCTATTGAAAATATGAAAGTCATGTTTGGCACTAGCAGAGCATGTCATCAGGCTGGCAACCTTCAGGGGGCAGGAGTGAGTTGACAGGAGCATGCACAACGGCAGTTTCCATCAGGTCATCACAATAGAAAGAGAATGTAGAGAGTTGTATACCAGTATGGCACAATAGAGGTACAACTACTGATAGATGAAAGCGCTGAGCTAGATGATGTAGTAGTGTACACCAATGGTTCTGTTCATTGGAGTGAAAGATCTGGCTGAGGTTTTTCAGCTAGAGTGAAGGGAAAAAACATGGCAGAACAAAATGGTGCTTATTTATCTACAACTTCAATCATGACATTAGATGTTGAGGCAGTCACTGCAGCTATAGAGTGGATGACAGAAAATAAGGTTACAACAGAATTATGATCAGTTATGAAAATCTGAACAGTGTAAAGGATATATTTGTGTGTATATTAGAACTACTCATGCCGTTGGTATTAATTTCTGGTTAGGTTTTCTAAATTTAAAATTGATTTAGAAAATAATTAAATCTACGTGTAGTTTTACATTCAAGTAATTTACATATGGAGAAAACAAAGAAATCCTAATATAAAATACAGTTGCACCTCAGTATAAATTCACTTTGGTAAACGTTCAACTTGGTATGTGTATTGTTGAAATGTGAAAATGTTAGCTTGGTTTACTACCTTTATTTAGAATACAGCCTGTGTGCTAGAACTTGTACGAGTCAAAATGAGTCACGACACTGCGCTATCTTTGTTTACCTCTTCCGAAACAAAGTCAAAGATAGAGATGTCAGTGATTTTGCAGAAAAGTATCATCACAACAAAACCCAAACAAGCCATAATAACATTGTCTGAACTTAACCAGACAGTGTCACATTTTCAAAGCATCTTGAGAAGGCAGAACCAAAGTTCTTTGGAAATATTTCTAGTAAAAGTCAAACCTTTTGAGCCTCAGCTAAATCCAAGCAGCAAAAAGTGACAGGAAAAAGAAAGAGAGAAAACACAAGAATTTCAGATTTCTCAAGTTTTATTGGAAGGGATGCTCCTTCCAAACAATATCCACTCCTTCTCCTGCCTTCTCAGTGCCATCTTAGTAAGCACTGGACTCTTCTTTGGAAGGTGAGGTGATGTTAAATTTGTCATCTGTTTTCATCTCATTGCTTGTGTATTAATGGATTGTAGTGTTAGGCTGTATATACACTTTTTTTTAAAAATACAACTCCTCAGTATATAATATAATCCAAAAACAATAAGATTTTTTCTTTATGGGAATGGATTAACCATTGGTTCTTTATTTGTTATGTGATCATTTAGTATACCTATTGTTTGGTACATACGTATTTTTTTTGTATACATAAAAGCGATGAGGAACAGATTAAATGGGGTTACCAAGTACCACTGTAATGAGTTTCTCATGTGAGTTCTAGAATTTACTTTACCCCTTCTACGGGTTTAAAATAAAATAAAGAATAGACCTAATATTCCTTAACAAGAATGTCATAAAGGGAGATAGTTTAAAAGTTTATTGAAATTGGATGTGCTGGCTGAAAAGTGCAGATATTGCTGCCTAGCTTTATACTATAACAGTGTGTCAGTCACCTGCTGTGACACTATGTGTCAATATGACTGCAGGTTGGAGAGACATCCCAACCTGGCGATGACTGCTCCTAAATTTATCAGAACTGAATCTTATCTAGTACCAACCAACACACAACATCAAGCTGTGATACGCCTTTAGAATAACTGCTTCTTGTTTATTCATATTCAATTATTTTTCAGGATACATACAATCATGCTGCACAACATAATTTGTAAATATGTACATTTAGACTCTTCTTGCAATCTAGACTTCAGCTACAACACTCACAATTCGAAATTGATAAATTTGACACCTGCAATTCTAACACTTCTAAATTTTGTCGTAATTGTACCTAACATACAGCATACATACAATCATTACTCATGTAATTGAAAAATTCCTCCACCGCTAAGGCTAAATTTTTTATAAAATCCTCATGTAATCCGCTCTTCTTGAGACTTTCATATGGCGTAGGTTTTGTTTGGTCTACCCTGTTTATCTTTCAGTCTCTCTCCTTCCTTCTGTAGTTTCATTTTGTAGATTATCATAACTGCCATATGTCGTACCATCATCCTTGTCTTTGTTTATAGTCGGTTCACTCAGCTATATAACTGGTCATTTACATCCTGTTTCTATTTACCGGTAACTAACAACTTCACATGTCTGAGGTCAGTTTTTCGATTCTCGGATGTTCGGTCAGGCTATTTTCAGTCTAATTTCAGGTGCCAAATCAGATTAGTCCTAATTAGTTTTTGTCTGAGAATTTGACACACAGTTGTAATGTTCAACCCTGTTTACCGACAATGAAGTTAACAATGAGTTTCTCACAGCAGGATAAGTTTCCTGACTGTGAATATTTAAACCTATTGTCTCAAGTAATTACTTAATTGCGCTGAGGAAAATCTTTTACCCTGAATGCCAGTAACAATTTCAAGTTGGAAAGGTCGTTACACAAATACCTCGATAATCGTCTAGGAAACCAAAACAACATGTTACTTAAAACAACATGTTACTTTCTAGTGAAGCAGCTAGCTAGTGTGACTTATAAATTCTGCGTTCACATGGCCTTTGTTAGCATTCATTGTATCTACTTGTAACGAACAGGGTTCAATTCTTCCTGTATTATATCATCAGTTCTCGTTATGCCTAGTGGCACATGAAGCTTCAGAGAGGACTTTCCATGCTTTCCTGTCCTGCGCAATCTTCAGTGCAGTTTTCCATGTCAAAGATGCAGCACTCAGGTCACTTTCCATTGTTCGTCTCCATGTTGTTTTTGGGCACCCCTGTTTTCTTTTCCCTCTGGTGTCCATGTGAGAGCTGTTTTGGCAGGTATATCAGGATTTATTCTCATAACCTGGCCAAGCCATTTCCATCTTCTCTTGGTTATCAAACTGTCTAAAGTTTCTTGGTTTGTGACTTGAAGTAGTTTAGTGTTTGGGATTGTATCTGGCCAGAAAATTTTGATAATTCTAGGTAAACATGTGTGGTGGAAGGTGGACAGCTTGTGTGCATCCTTTTTGGTCATTCTCCAGCATTCTGCTCCATAAAGAAAACTGGCAAAATGATGCTCTTGTAGAGTCGGAGTTTTGTTCCTCTGCAGTAATTGTTGGATTTCCAGATTTGCCTCATCCTTCCAAAAGCAGCTCTAGCTTTATTCAGACGTGACTGTATGTCCTCTTCGGTCCCTCCCGGCAGGGACACCACACTGCCAAGATATGTGAAATGTTCTACATTTTCAAGAGTTTGGTTATTTATGGTCAGTGGTTGTTGGTTTGGACTGCTTGTCATGATCTTAGTTTTCTTTGTATTTATTCTCAGTCCCACCATTTCTGCTGTGCTGTGTAGTCTGTTACTTTTTTCTTGTATATGTTCCTGTTTATGTGATAGGAGTGCTATATCATCTGCAAAATCAAGGTCCTCAAGCATGGTGAATGGAGTCCATCGTAAGCCTCTCAATGTCCTGTCTACTGTGTTCTTTAGTAACCAATCAATCACAAGGTTGAAGAGGAGAGATGACATAACACATCCTTGTCTTACACCTGTCTTTACTGGGAAAGATGTATTGTAATTTTTTATACTGCAGGAAAAGTCTTTATAAAAGAGAGCGACTGGTGACACCGACTCCCTACTGAGAGGACGTTTTTTTTTTTCGAGCTCTCACTTTTTGGATTTATTATTCAGTTTGTCTTAGTGAAAGAAATATCATTTTTATATCACTGTGACCATTATCCTGTCAGTTGCGCCGTGAAATATTGTGTTGTGCTTTATTTATCAACACGTGAAAAAGATGTTAGATTCTTTAAGTAAAGAGTTTTAACAAGCATTCACATACTGTATGGAAACAACAGGTATAGAGTTCAAATGGGCGTGTCTCTTCACTGAAATATATCACTGACACCCATTACGCGTTTACTATCCTCCAAACGATAAAACGGGAGAACGGAACAAGCTGAGACAAAAAGGCATATTCCACGGTAGAATAAAAATCGGACATTTCAGTCGCATTATTTTTCATCCAGCAGCAAACACAGTGACAGAAGTTTCACACCCCTTCTGCCTGCTCCGTGGAGAAAAATGTGCTGACCCCGTTAACTCTTTTTGACCCAGGCGGGTGCGGCAGTAAAATAATAAATATATAACGTGTGTTAACCTACCTGTTAAAAAAAAACAACAACCCACAGTAGAACAGTTTATAGACCCATTTTACTAATTAAATTAAGGGAGATCAACATCTTCACATTGAGTCTAGTGAAATTAGCAAACACGTTTAAATTCTCCCACCCCCCCCCCCCCCCCCCCCCTTCATAATGAAGGAGTCAACAGGATATTATCCATGGAGCCCTGGGCGTACCTGACTGAGAACACTCCAGTCTCTCGGCACCCATTTCACTTGCTGCATTCACTTCACACGGCCCCACCCAACGACAATCAGCTATGGACAGTTAACAGCAGAATTTTTTAAGCAGGCACAAAATCGTCAACATCTCAGAAGGCCAGTAACAAGGTTATCACGTGTAACTTGAAACTGGTCGAAAGACATTTTACTAGGCCATCAGATGAACGGGTTTATTTTCTGGACCCACTAGGAGCCGGACACAGAACAGCTTCTAGGATAGGAGACTAGCCAAAGTGCATCCAACTTTAACGAATCAACACCGTTCGGATATTCACCTTTATTTTTTGGCACGAGACAACATTTGTTTCTGGCCCTCAAGGGAAAACACTTGACATTTTGATGCCCTGCCCCACAACCAACTACCTGGATTACAGTATAGAAGCCTTGTTGAACATTTTCACTCCTGGAGGAATTAGTCATTTAGTGATC